AAAGTTCAAAGTGCCAAAGCAAACGGTCATGTATATGATCCATATACTAAAGAGCGCATTGCCCTTCCAGTCTCCAAGTGAGCAAAACATCGCTTTAGCAAAGTTTGATGCAATCAAAGGACCTCCCGCGATGTCTTCTCCCAATAGGATTGCCCTAGGTCCTAGGTGGCAAAAGCTAACCTGCAAATCCGCAGAGACGCAAGGTCCCTTGTCGTTCTAGATGAACGTGCGTTCCCAACGAGGGAACGAAACGGCGTTGCTTGGGCCCCCATGCATGCATCACCCAGATCTCATGAAGTGTGGAAGGAGCCAGCTTCTGATGTGATGTTGATCACGTGACACGTCTCACCCATGACCCCTAGGGACAAGCCTGTTGATCAAAGTCTATCTCTTGGTGCTGTGGGACTGGGGCCCTCTCCTTTCATGGGTCTACAGGTCCGCATGTCGCACGGATGCCCAGGTGAGTGCGAGCGAAGGCTCTCAGGCGCATGACTATGCGGAGAATTTCGAGCAGCTCGGTCACTGCGGTTTCGGCCATGGAAGGGGCGGAATGGGGTTGGACGGTGTGAGAATCAGTGTTCGTTTGGAGGAATGGGCACATGTTCTTATTCGGAATGCAGCAAGGGGGCAAGGGGGTGTATCTATCCTTATCCAGGCTACTCGGCAGGAAGCAGAAAAAACGGCGGAGCACCACTTTCAATATTTAGCTGATCCACGTCCAATTCCATCCCGAAAATGCACTCCCTGAAACAATCATGGAAGTGGAACGTAGGCCTGTGGAAGATAATTTTGCTCTACGACCACGATTACTCCAATGAGAAAATTGATGAAGTATTTTTTTATTGCGCCAGGTTTAGGTATCAGGGGCATTCAGGTGTGTTGCGCCCCGTGACTAAAAGACAGGAAGGTTCTCCATGATTTTGTGTGCGCACTATTCTGCGGAAAATAGCGGAGATTGGGACCGTTCCATCTTATGGGCCTCCGTAAGAGGAAATCACAGTATCAAAAGGAATCAAAAGGACGTCAAAGAGAAATTTAAAAAAATCAAAAGGAAACCAAAAAGAATCAAAAGGAAAGGAATCAGTATGGGTGTGACAAACTATATGGATGTCTAAAATTCGACTTCATGGGATCCCCTTTCAAGAGGCTCATTTACTGCTCCCCTGGCGTGACAAACATGTTTCTTTTGAAGCACCTATGCTGCTGAGGAAAACGCCAAACAGTTGCATGATGCAAGACTGCAACTGGCACTGTACTTTCATTTCCGGTAATACTGTAACACTGACTTTTCCAGATGTTTACAGTATTTACTGTAACACTCTTCTTCACATTATAGCCAGATTGCAGCCGGCAGGCCAAATGTACAGAACTTGGCCATTGTCATTGGGTCATCAAACGTTAGAGAAAACTAGTATCCGCACAAACATCCCGCATAATTTTAAATTTCTGCAATCCAAAGACCAGTTGCGCCATCTACAAGTAGTTCCCGGGCAAGCCGGCGGCGGAAGTTTCCAAAAGAATAAACCTATAGGAGTTGGGCATGTGGCAGGCTGATTCGCCGAGCTGCGATGTTCTTTGACAAAACAAGTTGGAACCGACCAATGGAGCGAAAGCGAAGCAACCACCGTCAACTGTCTCGCAGGAATAACCGTTGTTCATGCATTTTTGCAAAACACAGAATAGAGATGACTCAGCCGCGTACTAAAGTAGTACTACAAAGTCGCCAGTTCTCAGCTTCCAGCTCCACGGCTTGCTCCGCGTACTAGAGTTGTACTACAAAGTCGCCAGTTATCAGCTTCCAGCTCCACAGATACTCCGCGTACTAAAGTTGTACTACAAAGTCGCCAGTTCTCAGCTTCCAGCTCCCCAGATACTCCGCGTACTAAAGTTGCACTACAAAGTCGCCAGTTCTGAGCTTTCTCAGCTTCCAGCTCCACAGATTGCTCCGCGTACTAAAGTTGTACTACAAAGTCGCCAGTTCTCATCTTCCAGCTCCACAGATCGCTGCGCGTACTACAGTTGCAGTACAAGTTTGCCAGTTCTCAGCCTCCACCTCGCCAGATTACTCCGCGTATACACTAAAGTTGTACTACAAAGTCGCCAGTGCTCAGCCTCCACCTCGCCAGATTACTCCGCATACTAAAGTTGTACTACAAAGTCGCCAGTTCTCAGCTTCCAGCTCCCCAGAAGATGCTGCGCCTGCCACGAAATCTGCACATGGAGGTGCACAAAGTGCTGCGCCTGCCACGAAATCCGCGCATGGAGGTTCACAAAGTGCTGCACCTGCCACGAAATCTGCGCATGGAGGTTCACAAAGTGCTGTGCCTGCCACGAAATCTGCACATGCAGGTTCACAAAGTGCTGCGCCTGCCACGAAATCTGCACCTCGAGGTTCACAAAGTGCTGCGCCTGCAACGAAATCTGCACATGGAGGTTCACAAAGTGCTTTGCCTGCCACGAAATCTGCACATGGAGGTTCACAAAGTGCTGCGCCTGCCCCGACATCTGCACCTCGAAGTTCACAACGTGCTGCACCTGCCACGAAATTTGCACATGGAGCTTCACAAAGTGCTTCGCCTGCCACGAAATCTGCACATGGAGGCTGACAAAGTGCTGTGCCTGCCACGAAATCTGCACATGGAGGTTCACAAAGTGCTGTGCCTGCCACGAAATCTGCACCTGGAGGTTCACAAAG